TTATTCATGAGCTGAATAAAAATCTGACATTGTGTTGTAAACATCCCCCCTCCTCATCATCATGCTGATGAAGCCCTTCAGGTTGAGTTTCAGCAGCTCTCCTCCCTGAAAGGCATCAGAGGTAATGGACTGGAGTTCGGGACTTATTACCGTGTCATGCAGCAGCCATCCTGTATGGCATGAAGTGTTGACATATAACGGCACCGAGCGTCACCACCTCGCCTCTATCTGGCACCGAGCTCCTGGTGTTCTTGTGCCAAGTGGCAGCGTTCTGCAATCCAATCAGAGCTGACAGGCCCTGATTAATTCTCCTCAATCACTTCCATGACTCGGATGTGGTTATGAATGCGCAGCAGGTAATCTCTGCCAGTGTTTCTGCTCGTCGAAGACAAAAGGCAGTCATTAAAGGTGATTTTAATACATTAGTGGTTAATATGATGTACGTGATGAAGAGGAAATGGCTGCAGGAGTGTTATGTTCTGCTGGTTTATTTTAGGAATACTTTAATCATCTTAAACAACAGCAAACAGCACACTAATGAAACTTACAGACTGTTTTTCCTAAAGCTAACATTAGCATGTTTCCATTCTAAAGGAAACCAACATTTAAATCTACAGGACAAACAAAAAAAGGCTCATACTTTATGTCCTGATGCATCTCAGTAATCTAGGTAGAAAAAATTAAAAAGAAAAAATAAGTAGGTCCTCTGGATGGGTTCTTCTTTAGTGAAACGTTTCGTCTCTCCTTCAAGAGACTTCTTCAGTCTGATGAGTTTCAGGTGAACTCAGCCTTATAAGCACTGCCTCCACATGGACAAACAGGTTAGTCACATGTAAAAGAGGACCATCACCTAACAATAGGCTTGATTAGCTCTACTGTTCATAGAGGGTCATGTGCCCCATCACCTGACTTATTGGTTTGGATGCTTTGGCTGTGGTTATTTGGTGTTTTGTTATGTGTATGTAGTGAGTGAAAGCGGGGTTCGACATCCCCTTGTTTTTGTCTCTGTAGGGGTCACCTCGAGTGAAGAAACAAGATTTCCTGCCTCGAAGCAGGCCTCGGACAGGCCTGACGAGAGGACAGGAACTCTGTCACAAACTGAACTCTATTTAGGCCATGACCGGTCATTCTAATGTCTCTTCACTTATTGTGTCACTTTTCACTTCGCACAGTCAAGATATTAACAAGTAATGAGAAATACCTTGGTAAAAGTTTCCTCATAACCTTGTGTATGAATGTGGGAAAAGCTTAATTCACTTTAAGCTCACTCCTACATCTCTCTTTCCCTATTTGTGTTGGGTATCTGTAACAGAGGTGTAGGCCTTCGTGTCCAGTTGTCCTCCTCCTACAATGCTGTTATTGCAAGTATGACTCAGCCCCCTGTGAGCAAAAGGTGTGAATCAGGGCCCCAATGATACCAACACAAATAGGGAAAGAGAGACAAAAACAAGGGGACATTGAACCCCACTTGCACTCACTACATACACATAACACAACACCAATTAACCACAGCCGAAGCATCCGAACCAATAAGTCAGATGATGGGGCACATGACCCTCTATGAACAATAGAGCTAATCAAGCCTATTGTTAGTCAATGGCCCTCTTTTGCATGTGACTAACCTGTTTGTCCACCATGTAGGGTTGGGCGATATTGGCAAAAAAATTAATCACGATTAATTGTGGTGTTTAGCCAATAACATTTAAGTTGACGATTGATCCCCTGGAGTCCCTGGACATCCTTATGTCCTGGTCACATGACCAATTTAGTGGGAAAGATTTGCTCTTCGTAAAAATCGATTCCAAATTGTCAAAATTACAGACTTCGGGCTATACATCAAAATTTAAAATGTGTTGATAGACAAATAAATTTCAGAATTTATTTTTTTTTTATATTCGTCATAGTTGAAGCGGAGAGGAGCACCGAGCGGACTGACCGGGGAAATCTCCAGTCAATCTACCTGGTGGCGTTAATCGTATTAATTGTCAAGTGCCAAAAAATGATTGATGTTTTTCTGACGATTAATTGCACACGATACGATTATGCCCAACCACACCACCATGTGGAGGCAGTGCTTATAAGGCTGAGTTCACCTGAAACTCGTCAGACTGAAGAAGTCTCTTGGAGGAGAGACGAAATGTTTCAATAAAGAAGAACCCATCCAGAGGACCTACTTATTTTTTTCTTTTCAAGCTCATACTTTATATTTAAACCTAATGTTAAAACAATAAAATTAGTATTCAAGTGATTCAGTCACAACATTCAAGTGTGAAAGGAATATTTTAGTCATTATGAAGGGCTGTTTGACAGAGTAGTTTAAATTATGCGTTGTCCTGATGCATCTCAGTAATCCAGGTAAAAAATCAAAAAGAAAAAAATTGTATAGGTCTTCTGGACGGGTTCTTCTCTAATGAAACGTTTC